TGTTAGGGATCTGTCCTGAGGAGGTCCGATGAAGCTTACCTCCCTCCGTTGAGCAGAAGCACTCAAAGGATTTAGGAGACAAACAAAAAGCAAAGGGACTAAAGGAGTCCCCTGAAAATTCCCCTCTGATTGGAATAACAGATTCCGAAGTCTGCACCTGCCCTTTGCGAGTACATCTCAGTTGTGTCGACCAGCAACTTCATTAAAGACTTGAGTAAATCAAGTAGTCGCCTGTGGGATGTCAAATACAATGAAGAGATCTTCAGAATTCCATTCTGTGAGGAATAGAGTCGTATATGCTTTTTTGTAGGTCAATCCAGTACATGGAGGAGAGGTTGCAGGATATGCTTTAGCCTCTTTCAAAAATCATTTTTTTGCATTAAGAAGTTGATCCTGCAGCCTAACATCCTTCTTCGCCCCTCTGCTCTCTGTAAATTATATCATTGGGAAGAGCAGTAAGATGATTAATGAGATTTGTTAAACACCCCAGAATATTTTGTATTGTGTATTCAAACATGTTATAGGGCGGAACTTTTGGGATCAGTCAAGTCTCTTCTTGGGAAGGGAGTATTGTAGCGACCTTTGCAGAACCATGGAGGAACATCACCTGTGTCCACAAGAGAATTGAAACAGTGAAGTAATGGTGTTTGAACACAGGGGAACACAGTTTCCAATACCGGTTTCTGAAATGCCATCAGGCCCTGGAGCTGTATTAGATTTGACTTTTGATGACACTTTTCAGGCAATCTGGTGAGATGTAACAGACAAACGACCTATTTACTTTCTCATGCATTGTGCATGGTCATAATCACGGACCCATGGTGTCAAGGTTACAGTCGCCGGGTATAGACCACAACTGTTTCCAGAACCTTTCATTGGCATCCATGGAAGGCCGTTTATCATGCTCACCATCACCCTTTGTTTTCAGTTGCCTGTAGAAGTGTTTTTCATTGTTTCTAAAAAGTTTATTTTGCTCTGATGAATTCATAATTCTTTTCCCATTTTTTCTTCTTTCAGTCCAAACTTTTATTTCTTCTTAAGGGAATCGACAATTTGAAGAAGCACCTCCTTTCTTTGTTGTCTCTTGTACCGCAATTTTAATTGTTCCAAATTGTCTTTGCCGTTTTGACATTGGACTCCTGATGATCTTAGTTTCAGGCACAGCTCTATCCAGGAAATGTATTTTCTAGTTCGTTACTTTACTTGAAACCGGTTTTTCTTGGTGTATTGTTCTTAGTAATAGCTGTTTTTTTTCTTTGGGAAACTGTGTGAATTTCCAAGGTTCGAGCGGCAGCATAGACACAACAATTAACTTCATGTAATGAACAGTCCGATGAATGTTTCATAGATATAATGTCATTTAATAAATTAATTTCATGTTTGGGAAAAGATACATTTGTTTGTTGAATTGGCCTCCGTGTTTCTAAAGGTATGTCAAATATTTCATCATAAATAGAATGAAATAAAATATACACAGGGTTTTCGGAAAGATCTGCAACTGAAGAAGAGGAAGAGGGAGCATCCGAAATTTCAACCAATTGGCTTGTATGCCGGAAGAGTTTCCATCAGCAAGAGGAAAGAGGCTGACACACGGACGTCCATTAGAAGTTTTAGTCTGGCTGCCACTTGAGCATTCTGTTCATACAGTTGTTCCTGGACGGGCACCAGTTGTGGGCTTGAACTGGCTCACGGGGCATGATATTTTTAAGCCGCTTGAATTGATCTCGAAGATTTTGGCTCCGTCAGGTAAGCATACATGGGCATGGCATTGTCCTTTTATTATTATTATTATTATTAACTGTATTTACAAGTTTCCGTCCAGTTCAAAACAACAACATTTAAGTAATATTTTGTACGGAATATTATATTTACTTTATCAAATTGTTAAAATGTGTGAAACAGTTTTGAAGTATTTAAAGCTGCGTAGTGTTTTGATCATATCTTTAAATGAAAGAAACAAAATTGAATTTGTGTGAATCAGTTTACATATGATCCCTCACCTTGGGCAATAACAACAATAATACGATTGTTTATGTGCCTACCTCGCCATGTGCATCGGCAAATATTCAGTTGATGTAAAATGTATTGGTCTTTGACCCAAAAAAAGTTTCTTTGTCTTGTCTGTTAATTGTATCGCTAAAGGCTGCAACCATGGTAAACTTACCAGTGATTTTTAAACGTAGAATCTTTGTGATTTTAATTCTATTAAATTTGACCACAGTCGCTGACTGCTGAAGGGATGGATTTAAATCCAACTAGGGTCCATGTAGGTAGAAAAAGGTACTGTAAGACCCTTAGTATGGTGGTGATCAACCTTCGGTTGTTGGTGATCTATAGCCCGCTCTTTATATTGTACCATTGTCTCTCGTGATATATTTTTTATGATAGCGAACCAGTTTTAAATTAAGAGCTGTGGATATTTTAGTAGTTTTACCGTCCTATCCGATGACAGGTTTTACGTAGTACATGTATTGAATTTGAATATTGCTATAAACCGTTCTCGACACGATATGGCTGCAATATTGTTACGATGTGATGTTGCGTTTTAACTCACCAATCACTCACTTTAGATATCGTCTCGCACGTAAACCTAACAAACAACGTGTACGACAATGTATTATTTTGTCTATTTTGATTATTATTATTGTCACATTTGGGTCAATTGTACCAAAACAATAAGCTAATTAACACTTCTGAAAAACTTAATCATGACGCACTTAGAACTATTTGCAGTGCTGTTCGTCCCTCCTATGGTATTACCACTACAAGCCACAATTTCGAGACCTTCAAAACTATCGCTTGTAAAAGTATAAATTATGCCAAGTCATTTCTCAACGATGCAGTACAATCTCAGGAACTCCTTTTGGCTCGATCACAGAAAATTCGACTACCTTGGAGGGGCGGTGGGGTAGCCTAATGGTTAAAAGGTTGGCTCTGTCACGCTGAAGACCTGCTCTGAATCCCCACATGGGTACAATGTGTGAAGCCCATTTCTGCGTCCCCCGCCGTGATGTTGCTGGAAAATTGCTGGGCGTAAACCAAACTCAGTCAGTCAGACTACCTTGGATATTTTAAGACAATAAATTAATTTGTCTGATAATGATATGAACGATTTATTCAAATCCCTTCTTGTGAATCCAATTCACTATTTCTTTTCAAGCGTTAATTACGCATGAGAGAGATAAATTATATCAGTAGACACTGGGGTGAGATTCTAGTTATCAAGAAAAAAATCACCTCTTCATTAGTTCTCTTCTCGCTATTTTAATTTTGTCGATGTTACTGTGCTGTACTTTCTGGTTTCTTACTATGATCCACATTAGCCGTACAGTGTTTTATATTGAATCATCACTGTAACTAAGCTGCTCTGGGGTGGCCTAGTGGTTAAAGTAAGGTGATTTCTACCGGGGACCACGTCACAAATACATGCAAAGTCAAGTGAACAAACATGGGGACCTAACGTACACGTCAGAATGGGAAATTGCATCAGACACAATTCTGGTCTCTGGGGCATCTGGGCGGTAAGTAGCCTGGAGGTCAAAAGCGTTCGCTGTCACGCCAAAGACCCAGGTCTGATTCCCTCACATAGGTACAATATTCTAAACCCATTTCTGGTGTCCACCGTTAGGATATTACTCGAGGTATTACAATCGGTGTAAAAACGTATCTCACTCTCACTCACTCACTTCACTTTCTCACTTTGATCTACCCAGTAATTACAACAATATGGAATCAACGTCAGTCTTGTTGGAAAATCTAAGTACTTCAGTTTATTGTGTGGGTCAAACTATATGTTTCTTTTATGCAGCATTTCGCTTGAAATAGAATAAGAGAGATAGTGACCGTTGAAAAACGTAATGTGCATTGCAATCTTCAGTAGGAAATGTTCACGCATAAATATACCATTAAAGAGACCGGGATACGTTAAAAGATATGTTCAGACTATCGTACGTTTCAAGATAAAGACATATTTACAGTTATCTAGATCAATTAAATCGATGAAATTGTGGATATGTTCTTGATAATCTCTGAGATAAACATAACAAATTTGAGTATAAAATGAAGAGTAGAATAAACAGCAGTTCCAGAACGAAGAATGCGTGCAGGCATGTTTTGATGTTTTCGTATAATTGGATGAAATATGAAATAATCATGTTCCCTGCTACGGCTGTGCATCATGTTGTCCCCAGTGGACGCTGTTACATCTGTGAAATATTGTAGTAAAATAAACGAGATCATCAACAAACACGAGGAGGAAAAACTTTCCAATGGTTGGTGTGAGCATGTGCGGTCTCAAATGTGCGACCAGAGGCTACTGTTGGAGCATCGGATATGATGTAGTCACCTTCATGTGTCATGTGCTGAAGCTGAGACTCTGACAATAGAGAAGAATGTGGACAATTAACTTTCATACCAAAGCCAAACCAAACTGTGGGCAACTTTGTTATGGCGTCCCAAACAAAAGAAGTCAGTATCACACATCAGTCTATTATGCCTTCTATTACTTTTTTTTGTATTCAGAATCAAGCTGGCCCTGTTCATCTGAGACTCTGTCGAGATTAGGAGATGCGTGGAGGCTCGTTCTGGAAGAGGTGTATGTGTCAAAGGTAATTACTGACATCATATCTTCCAAAAATATACCAAATAATAAGCTAATATATCTCCAACTTTACCTGAGCAAAGACATTTCTTCCCAAACTCTGAATGGAACCCAGGAAATGGTCTGAAAAACGCAACCTGATCTCGGAGCTGGTACGGTGTTCTCCATGTTTTTTCATGCAACTTCATGCCCCACGTGCTGTCTACAAGGATCAGCCCTATAAAATGCACCCCCAAACCTGGTTGAAAACATTCACATTACAACGCGTCAGCAGGATGCCCTTCTCAATACGACAGCCTCAGAGGAATCAGGCGCTAGAAGACTTGAAGCTGGCCACACTGCACAAGCCGTCGCCAATCACTCCAGGTCAACGTTTTGATCATCTACAGGTTGCTGCAACGCCATGGCGTGTGACAGCATGTACATAATCCCTTGATGCAGGCATCTGAAACAGCACGCCAGACAGTGGGAACACACGGGAGACCAAGCAGTACTGATACAGTACGCCAAAGTCTCAACAGCGGGAACCTCCACTGCCGTAGAGTGAGTGAGTGAGTTAAGATTTTAAGTCACATCGGCAATATTTCAGCTATATCGTGACTAAAGGAAGTTATGAAATATATCAACAATTGAAGTGAAATTATAAAATTCCCGCCGACGAAGGACAGTAAAATAACTAGATTATCACAGACATAGATATAAAACTAGTAACTAAATCTAAAACATTTGAACTATAGGGGACAACACAATATAAAAATGGCTTATAGATCGCCACCAACTGAAGGTAGATAACCATGCTAGGAGCCATGGGGACTTACATTACTTTGCTACCTGCATGGATCCTAGCTGGATTTACACCATCCCTTCAGCTGCTGGTGATTGTAGGAAAATTTAGCCAACAGTTAAAATAACAAAAATACTACGTTTAAAATGTGATAATTTATATTTGACTTTGAAAGTTTTGGGACTTACGTACTTCCTTCAGGAGGACAATAATTTTACGCTACGTCAACCCCTTTGAGGGTACAGCCACTAACAATCTCAGTGACTAATTTAAACTACCAATAATAAAATATTTATCTATTTACAAATCAGTTAACAAATCTAATTCTTTTAAAATTCAACCATTAAATGATAATTAACATTATAAAAAAGATCCTTCAATGTTTTGACATTGTAATACTTATCCCTTTGTGATGGAATATTCAACACAGTCAAGCAGGACATGCTTGACCGTGATTCGTTCATCACAAGGGATACAAAACGGAGGATCCTCACCTTTAATAGGTACTCATGCGTATATCTTGTGTGGCCAATACGACATCGTCGTATGATGACCTCTTCAAATCTGGACTGACAACCCAAGCAAGTGTAACCTGATATCGGGTTTTATTTGCATGTAATTTTATTGATACCTCACTTGGTGTCCCACTTCTTTTGCATCAGATCACGGATGTAGGTTCTAATGATAGCTTTGTAATCAGAGTATGGGAGCATAAGAAGTGGTGTCACAGATTTGTTGAGTGCAGCCTTAGCAGCAATATCAGCCATCGTGTTCCCAGAAATGCCAACGTGGCTGGGTAGCCAACAAAAGACGATGTCGCATTGGCCAGTAGCAAGCTCATTATACAATTCAATAATTTCTAATAAAAGCGGATGTTTGCAAGTAAGATTTTAATAGCCTGAAGACACGAAAGAGAATCTGAAAAGATGATATATTGTTTATATTTACGGTGTTTATTTATATATTTAAGAGCTGTTAGTATTGCGTTTGCTTCTGCTGTGAAAATTGAACTGTCATTGGGTAGTCTGAAGATTATTGTTTTGGACTCCAATGACAGTGGCACAAGCAACCGCGCCACCATCCTTGATCCATCTGTATATAAGGATTTATAGGTATTATATTTATTTCTTAATTGACTAAATTTTTGTTTATACTGTAAATCATTAGTTTGGGATTTTTAAATGTGGTTAATGTTAAGTCAACGTCTGGCCTCACCAATTGCCAAGGAGGAGAAGAAAGAAGACGAGAAGGAGATATATTCTCCAGCTCAATGCCGGCAGCAGAAAGGAATGGTTTAATTCTGTGCCCAAGAGGCGGAACAAGAGAAGGCTTTTTGTTATACAAATCCTCATAAAGAGGAGTGGAGATGCAGTGAAACGCAGGATTAGACTCGTTAGGATATAGCTTCGTAATATACTGTAATGATAATTTTATACGGCGTTGGGTAAGAGAAGGCTCATCTGCCTCGACGTAGAGACTGTCAACAGGAGATGTTCTGAAGGACCCAAGACAAAGTCTCAGACCTTGATGGTGGACTGAATCTAAGAGTTTTAGGTTAAAGTGGCAGGCTCCACCATAAACGATGGAGCCATAATCAAGCTGCGAGCGGACAAGGATCTGTAAAGGTGTAGGAGCGTAGCTTGATCCCTCCCACCTTGAATTAGACACGACTTTCAATAAATCAAGTGCCTTCAGGCATTTAGTTTTGAGATTTGATATGCGAAGAAAAGTTAAATGGGAGTCGAAAATGAGACCTAAGAACGTGGCCTCTTTACAACCTTGATGGGAGTACCATTTAAAACAGTTCTGGGTCTTTATGTGGTTTATATTTACGGCAGAAGTGTATGCAATTAGTTTTGGATTTAGAAAATTTAAAGCCGTTTTCAAGACACCATTTATGTATTTTATTTAAACACAACTGCAGTTGCTGTTCAATAGTATGCATATTCTTACCACGACAAGAAATGTTAAAATCATCCACAAAAAGCGATCCATCAATTGAATCATTTAAAACCTTGATAAGCTGTTAATCTTAATGCTAAAATAAAGTGACAGACAAAATACTCGCCTTGTGGGACACCCTGATCCTGATTATAATGGTCAGACAGGGTTGAACCCACTCGACTTGAAATTGCCTGTCGGTTAAAAACTGTGATATAAAAGGAGGTAAACGACCCCTTAAACCAAAAATCATGTAAATCCTTTAAAATGCCATGCTTCCAGGTGGTATTGTATGCTTTCTCAAGATCAAAGAATATCGATACTGCATGTTGTTTATTTATTATAGCATTTTTAACAAAGGATTCTAGTCGTACCAAATGATCAATGGTACTACGATTTTTCCTGAAACCACATTGAATATTGGTTATAAGGTTATTGGTTTCCAAGATACCATGTTAATCTATTGTTTACCATTCGTTCCATGGTTTTGCCAGATACAACTCGTTAAAGAGATTGGTCTGTAATTAGACGGATCAGTATGATCCATTGCCGTAGACCTTACCGTGGACCTATCCTCACCCCCTCGTCATCGGCGTGAACGTTCTACAGTTTGTCTCTACAACACCAAAACTGGCGATACAGGCAATGGATAACTGTTCTGTTCACAGATGAGAGTAGGTACTGCGTTGGCAGAACAAGAATATGGCGACGACGTAGCCAGCGTTACTACTAGCGTTACAGCGAGACGACATGGGGAGGGGCAAGCATCATGGTATGGGTTGGAATAGGCCTGAACCAGAGAGTGGGTCCTGTGGTGTTCCAAAACCTTGGTCCAGGAAGAGGAGGCGGTATCACAGTGGTGGGCTACATCGACCAAGCTCTCAGACCCCACGTCATACTACATTTCTTCGCACGTCACCGGAAAACAACATTTTCCAGCATGATAACGCCCGGGCCCATACTGCCAGATCTACACGGGACTTCCTACAGTAGAAGGGTAGTCAACATTATGCAGTGGCCAGCCCTTAGTCCTGATTTAAAACCCACTAAAAAATCTTTGGTATGAAATTCAGAGGAGATTGAATAATGTCATACCAAGGCCTGAACACAGCTGATTTATTGCGCCATCTCAGAGTGTGTGTTTCAGGTGCCAATGGCCTTGATCAATCGATTGGCACCCGTGAAGAGCCACCTCCTCGTGGTGGTGCTGGGCAACGCTAACCGCCTTCAACCCCCGTTGTGGGACCCAGGGGTATTTTGGTCTACCAACCCGTTTGCCATGGGGTTGCGCCCTGTGTCGGTGGGAGGACGGGAGTCTGGTGGTTGAGGGCACAGATCCTGGGAACCGTGTTCCTTTGCCCAACACACCACTTCGCCCCTTACTTCACCTCCAGACAGGTGGTAGAACCTGACCCGGTTCTATCAATCGGCTTGGTCACGCCAAGCCCCATGCATGGTGAATATTTTTGCATATTTGAATTATAATTTGGTCTTGATATTTTTATCTATTGTGTATAAATTATTGCTTACTTTAAACTGCCTAGAGTCCATGCCAGAAGGCGGTGGCTCATGGGGCCAATATGGCAATGTTGACCTCCGTTCAATATGTGTCCAGTTACTTGCCATGGGCAGAACCAACCCTGGCATTTGATTTGGTACACAAATATTGCTATATGTGCTCATATTTGCTGGCGTATAACATCCCTGTATCCCTGGGGTCGGCATCTTGGAGATTCGGTGCTATTTGACATCGTCCTTGTTGACGCTCCATGGTGGGTGGGGAGCAGGGATGCTGAATTATTTCTGTTCTCATTATGGCATCCCCACAAGCTGGTTCATCTCGCTATGGAAAAAAAAGAGTTGTCTGGTTGAAATAGATCGTCCAGCTGAAACTGTTTCTGTGAACTTGATTCCTGGGCTCGATTTCTTGTGATCGAGTGTAAGGACTTTCTACCGGTCAATTTAACCCTTCGCAATTTCGAAAAGCCATCTCTGGAATCTGTGGAGAGGTAAAGAACGTTACCCGTCTCCGTAGTGGGCTCGCTTCTGGTGGAGGTGCAGGAGACAGCAATCTCTCAATCTGCTGTCTGTCACGACCTTTGCCAATATCGAGGTTGCTGTGTCTGTGCACAGAACGTTGAACTCTTTGCCGCGGTATCATACGAGACCGAGCTCGTTGTGTCTGTCATATGTCAGAGGAGGATATAGCCCTAGAACTTGAGGAACAAGGAGTTACAGCGGTGAAAACGTTTCATCTTCAAGAAAGATGGTAATATCACTCAAACCAATACCTATCTCTTTGACTTTTTCGCGATCTTCCCTTCCACAGTCAATAAAAGTAGAAGTTATGTTAACATCGGGGTGGATGTATGTCCCCAATCCACCTGATGTTACAAATGTCAGCATTTCGGTCATGGGTCTCCCTCTTGTCGAAATCCTGTGGTGTGTCACCGCTGTGGTGACAATCATGAGAGTACAGATTGCGTGAATGATTATAAATGCGCAATTGTGAAGGCGCACATGCTGCTTCATCCAGGTCGTGCCCTATATATCAAAGGGGAAAAAATTAATGAAAATCAAATGCGAAAAACATATCCTACCTTGAAGCCAAAAACTGTTTTATTATCGTCAGAATTCAACCCGTTGAATATCTCTTATTCTTCTGCAGTCACCCGCACTGTAGCAACATCCTCTACTGTTTAATCTTCCGCATATTAAATCCCTTAAAACTAAATGCCTGAAGGCACCGGATTTATTGAAAAGTCGTTTTAATTC